CTCTTCTGTCCCAGAGTTCTCATGACAACACTTTTCCTCCAATTTTACAGGATACTGGTGCTTAACTACTTGGCGCGGACCGGGAAGGCCGGAGGCCTGGTCGCAGGATTGACCATGTCTGCGTGTTGGGATTCCTTTGAGACCGTTGACTCCTTGGAGACCCCACTCAACTCACTGCTCTTCAATCAGCCCCTCACTGCTGGACTCTGCCGGCTTGTGGCCAGGTAGGATAGCAGACGGCAGGCTTTGCCTGTGCTTGGGTCCGTTCCAATCTGGGCTTTCTTGAGGAGGTAAGAAGGTGTGAGCTCTGCGTTTAGGTGCAAGAGTCTAGACAAACCCTGATGTAATCTTTTCCAGGAACAGAAAGACAATTGAAAAGGTGTTGGATGTAGACTTTGCGATAAAGGTATCTTTCGGTCACCCCCTTACCCCAGTGTTGCTCTCCTACTTTCTAATACCTAAGCCTACCATGTCTCTACCACACAGGCCCGCACAATCCGCCAGCTGGATGAGCGGTACACAGCTGTGGCTTTTGGGTATAAAGACTGTGCAGCTTATTACCAAGCCTCAAGCCCAAGAACCAAGGTAGACGCCATCCACACCCCTGTCCTCTGCCTCAACGCAGCAGATGACCCCTTCTCCCCCTTCCATGGTGAGCGGCTGCTGAGCCAAGGATGCGGGTTGTACTGAGGTACAGCCTGGGTTCTCATTTGAGGGCCGCTTTCTGACCTCCCTGACTCCCTCCCAGCCTTCCCTCTGCAGGCTGCCCAGAAGTCTCCCTATGTGGCTCTGCTCATCACAGCTCGGGGTGGCCACATCGGCTTCCTGGAAGGGCTGCTGCCCTGGCAACACTGTTACATGAACCGTGTGCTACATCAGTATGCCCGAGCCATCTTCCAGCACTCCGTGGGGCTGCCTGACCTGGGAACACTCACTCCTGAAGATGGAAAGAGCTAACAAGAGGACTGCTGAGGTCTCGGTCCAATCTCTCTCTCTTTATTAAATATCAACTCTTCCTGCCTAACGAGCCAAAGTTCACTTTCCCTTTCCTCGGGCTGCAGTAGAGCATTCAGGAACTCACTGTGTATCTGCCCTGACTGGCGTGGTGCTACCCAGAGCCCACAGATCACTGCTACCTGTGTCTCTTCCTGCCTTAACAGCAAGTGCCAGCACAGACTTTGTCTCAACAAAGTGAGGACCTTGTGTGAAGGCTGGAAGGGGAGGAGAAACAGTTTCTGTAAGAAGGATGGCCATGCCTCCAGGCTCTTGGGCATCTTCACATATTTCTAGAAAAGGAAGAGCTCAACTCTGGAGCCCTGGGAGGCAGAGGGAAGGAGGCAGGCAGTGTGGCCTGAACTTCAGACCACACTGTCCTAAGTGGATCCACAGGTGAAAGCAGGGCTCCCCAGACCCAGAGTGATGGGAAGGCCACCGGCAAGCTTTGGCTGAGGGACCAGCAGTACCCATCAGTCTCATCAGATGCAGCTTCAGCCGTTGGGCTCAATGATTCTGCTCTGGAAGGTGGCACTGTCCATGGCTGATTCCCATCGGTCAGGAGGTTAAAGAAAACCCGGGAAGGCACTCTGGAGCAGCAGGATGGTTACAATAATAAGGCCGACACACAGCACCAGCAGGAGCCATATAGGAACACTCCCTGTGGGCGGGGCGAGGGAAGGGGTGAGTGGGCAAATACACTTTGGAGCTTGAAAACCAGAACCCTTAACCACTTTCAATCAAGGAGGGGCAGGTGGATGAGTAAAACGGTCTATTTTCCCAGGGCCAATTTTCGCTATAGCTAAACATGAAGTGGTACCCTTCCCACCACACATACACACACACACACACACAAAACAACAACAACAATGACGACTCACGCCGTGAGGGCAGCAGGTGCAACTGACAACGACTATCCACAGCCACGGAGAAAAGAGCAGTTTCATGGGGCCCAAGAAGCTTTGGCCCACAACCCTTCTCAGGTAGAAAGGTCACATCTGTCACCACAATGCCATGGGCCTCCTTCACATAATACAGGCGCTGGGGGAGAGAGCAGTGAGGAAAGCCTGGTTGGAGGCTGCCTTCTGGGAAACAGGCTCCACAGTCCTAACAGGCTTCCCCTATGGCCTGGGCCTTCCTGTGTAATCAGGGCAGAGTAAGCTTGTAACCCTCCCATGGGGTTGTACCAACCGCTACCATTACCTGGAGAGAGAAAGCTATGTAGATGGCGACAGAGCCAGTGACCGTGCCTAGGCCTAGGAAGGTACCCGATTCACTGTAACATACAACAGAGGATTCATTGTTCTGGAAGCTTGTGCAGAATCCGTCTCCCCCCAACAGTAATCCTTAGAGACTGAGTCACGACTCCTTCCCGAGCTCCCTCAAGTGCCCACCAACTAACCAAGCAGTAGGACTTCACACCTGACACTGAGGCAGGAAATGACTTCATGGCCACAGGACCTGGTCTGGAGAGGCAAGAAGGTGGAACTGTCCCAGGCTGTGAGGTAGCAGGGTGGGGGCTGACGTAGGCGCTTGTGGGGTATCTGCACTGTGAAGAGTCGCAGCCCACCGGGCTGATCTGGAACCTGCCCAAACCTGGAGGACAGGCAAAAGGCTTTCAGTTCCTGTCAGCCCTCAGGTTTGTGCCCTTTACCCCAGTCACACCTGGAACAACCTCCAACAAGGCTCCAGCGATCCCCAGCTCCTTCTGTCTTTCCCAAGGCCCAGCTGAGGTGTGCCTGCCAGCCACCCTGTGACCTGCACACCTGCAGGCCTGGTAGCGGTACGGTGTGTTAGAAGAGGCGGGTCCATTCTCTTGCCACTGTAGCTGTGTCACCAGTTGATCCTTCTGCCACACAGAAGCCTTAAAGTCCCAGCCCACAGTAACCAACTGGAGCGGAGTAAAGATCCCAAAGATGGACAGTTAGGACATCAACAAACCGGGCAAGCGGCACAATAGGCTTCCCCTTTCTGCACCAGCATCCCACACCCCCACCTCCTTACCTTGCCATCAGGACCCAAAGCCAAATCTCCAATCTCCCCTTCATGGGCTTTGAACTCCAAAACTTTCTCCAGGCTAGGTACCTATAGCCAAGTCAGTACCACAGTTACAGACCAAAAGCGAGAACACTGTGATCCCCACTGCACCTACCCCAGTGGCCACTCATAAATTTCACAGAATGCATATTCAGATTCTCCCAATATTGTTGTGATTACAACTGACATTCATCCCCCTAAAACCTCACCTTCCAGACACGAACATGACCGTCGGTTCCTCCAGTGGCAAGCAGGGTGTTATCATGGTTGAAGCACACAACTTTCTGCAGCGGTTCATTGCTGAAGTCTGTCTGTACTGCCTCCAAATTCTTTACTCTGAGTTCAACCCCTTCTGGGTGAACTTCTGCTCCCGATTTCTTCTCTACTGGAGCAGCCCCCTTCCTCTGTCGAGGTCCCTGCTCCTTGGAACCTGCAACACAAACAATTTGCCAGAATCCAGACTTCTTTGTTGTTAAGACAGGGATTTGCTAGGTACTCCAGGCTAGCCTTAGATATCCTCTTGCCTCCACTCTTCAGCACTGAGACTCTAGGTATGCAGCACCACCCTCAGCTGGATCTGGGCATCTGTATTAATTAGGAGCAGTCCTACTGATCCGAGTACAAACTTCCGATGCTCCCCCCCACCCCACCCCCCATCTAATCTCTTTTTTAGAGACCAAGATTTAGGGGCTGGAGGGATGGCTCAGTAACTGCTCTCCCAGAGGTCCCGAGTTCAATTCCCAGCAACCATAGGGTGGCTCACAACCATCTGTAATGGGGTCTGATGCCCTCTTCTGGTGTGTCCGAAGAGAGCAATGGTGTACTCATATACATAAGTAAATAAATAAATCTTTAAAAAAAAAAAGAGAGAAAGAGAGAGAGCAAGATGTAGAGCGACTTTTTCCAAAGCTCCTCACCTGACTTCTCTGCTTTATTGCCCTTCTGTTGATGGACCTGGAAACGAAGAAGCTGACAATGGGCATCCTGTCCAGCAGCAAGGATGTCACCAGCAAGCGCCAAATTCATAGTGGCCCGTGTCTCTGTGTCATGAGAGTGCAGCAAGGAGGCGCTCAGGCACCCGTTGATCTGCTCTAGCTGCAGAAAATGCTGTGAGGGAACCAAAGTGGGCAAAGTTCAGGCCAGCCCGGAAGTCACATTAAGTCCTAGTCTCAGTTGCAACCTTTGCTTCCCGCACCTCCAGCTCATGTTTTTTGTTTGTTTTGTTTTCGTTTCTTTGGTTGTTGTTGCTGTTGCTTAGCGCTTTATTCTCTTACTGGAGCTTCCCAATTTGTACAGCAATCAGGGCTTAGATTACTAGGTCCAGTTTACAGAAAGAAAAGAATTCAGTCCCCAGCTGCTTGAAGACAGACAAGACAATCTGCCTTCCTGGAAAAGGCCAGAGTAAGAACCCCGGACCAGCTCCCATAACCCGGCGTGGGTAGACAGTCCAGCCTTCGCAGACCTGCATAGCTTTCAGTCTAATTTTGGATGTCTCAACCGCTCTACTCAGGTGAAACCAGTGCCCGAGCGGCAATGCGGGGTGTTCCCACTAGAAAGGGGCAGGGTCTAATGCAGGGGTACGGCTCACCTCTACGTCCCCCGGCCACCCCGGAATCGCCCTGGCCCATAACCTGTTCCCAGTGGCCCTGCGTTCTCACCACGCCATTCTTTATGCCTGTCTTGGCAGCTCCTCCTCCGCCCGCAGCGATGAGCAGCCCAGTCTTGGGGTCTATCCGAAGCGCGTACAACGGGAACGGGGCCCGGTAGAGCTCCAAACCCCGGCGCCGGCCCATCCCGCCCGCGAGTTCACTACCAGCCCCGCGGAACCCACGACATGCCGCGCCCCGCCTCGGAAAGCTGCGGAACTTGGTGCTCTAGTTTCCCGGAAGACGGCCGACCCCTCTCAGCACTCCGGACTTGCCACCACTCAAACCACCGCAGGTAGCCGATCTGCGCTCGCGCGACCGCCTGGGTCGCGCAGGCATTCAGTGCGCACGCGCCGCGCTCCGGGCTCTCTCTACGCAGGCGCAGGACGCGAAACCGCGTCAGCACTAGCGGGACGCGCTGTCACGGAACCATAGCCTCGGATCCGGTTCCTGACCTGGAATGACGGCGAAGCTGCCATATTTGTGAGGGGCGTGGGAGGTGGTGCTGGAAGACATACAGAAGATTAGTAAATCTAGAACTAAAAAGTTCTCGGACTGGGAAAGTCCCACCTTGAAGAGAGATACACAGACTCGTACAAGCGGGGCCTTTATGTGTTACTCCTGGGAGGAAGTGGTTTCCCCGGGTCACGGTGAGAACAAACACTCCAAAACAGATTCACTGCTTCCTAATATCCTAATGTGAAGAAACCATTTCCCACTTAGAAAGCGCCCTCCGGGGCTGATTGGACTCCTTCTTATGGTTTGACGGTCCTCTTCTGGAACACAGAAGTTATCAGTGGCAGTTGATCCT